CCCGACTCAGCCCACATCCCAAGCTCAAATCTATGGCTCTGACATTACTAGCACCACACTCTGACCAACTGATCTAGTCAGCTAACAAGCAATAGAAATTTGTTTTTAAAAATTCTATCAATTTAAATGCTTTCTGTTAAATAACTTCAGACATTATAGACTACCGGTATTTAGTTCCTGGCTGGCCTGCAAAAATTCACCCAGTCTACTCCTCATTCCTTTATCTATGACCTGGCCTGTGGCAGCTTCCACATGTTTTTCCACATGTTTTTCTTCTAGGAACTTGTACTTCACAGTTGATCATTTTACTATCTGATAGATCAGGACCTCTGTAATATCATGGTAGAAATTCAAATATAGCCTTTATTTCCTTCTAAGGAGCTCAAGATAGCTTATGTGCCCGCCCCCCACCCCCGCCCCCCACACACACACTTTTTATCCTGTGAGACATGTTTGGGTGAAAGAAAATGATTTAATGTCTGAGTGAGGATTTGAATTCGGATCTTTTCAGTCCCTCTCTAAATCACTCTGCTGCTTTTATGTGGTTTTTGCTTGAAAGCCAATGCACATTTACCTGGAAGTAAACATCAATGAGCACTGTGGAATTTAATTCTGAGTAAACATTCTCAAGATTTTGTTTTTGTAGTCATTTGTTGCTAGCTGCTTTGGGCATTTTTCTTCTGTTTTATGACTTCCTGCTGCAATTCCTATGCAAGATCTCTCTCTTTGCTATATACATTCTAAAGTCACTGATAATCATCTGGATCCAAGATACTCTTATACCATAAAACCTACAAAGGTCTCTTCAATTGTTGAATGCCTGAAAGACAGCCTTCCTGCTATCCCAACCTAAGTTATACCAAGTTTCCCAATGATTTGGCAGGTTAATAAAGTGTGATAAAAAACCAAAAATGTACAATTTCTGTTCTAATCTATCAAGTAATCACTGCATCACTCTGGACACAAAGGAAAGTTAAAACAGTAAACGTGCAATCCCATGCATGATTACACAAAGAAAAATCCCAGAATTTCCAATATCCCTGCATATTGGGAGATGCACAACTTTTTCTGTACAAACATGCAAAGGATTGCATCCAGTAATAAATGATCAGTGGACAGAAAGATTAATAAAGGCCATCAGCAAACAAAGCTGTATATAAATGTTAATAACAAATACATAGAAGTGAGATATTTATTATATTTATACCCTGCATCTTTTTCTTTCACAGAGAACCCAGGGCAGTTTACATGAGCTTCTGGGTCTCCATTTTATGCTCACAACAACCCAGTAAGGTAGGTAAGACTAAGAATCAGTGACTGGGCTGAACTAACTCAGTAAGCTTCATGGCTGAGTGGGGACTGGAATCTAGTCTTTCCAGTCCCATTCCAACACTCAGACCACTACACCACAATGACTTAAGCATAGAGATGGGCCCAGCAGTGAAAAATGGCATGCCTTTGTCAATTATTGTCATGCCGAACAAGGCAGGCCACAAAAATAAGTGGGGAAAAGGGGAAGAAGTGAAGCAAGAGAAATCCCTGATAAAATAAGTATGGTTTGGCTCTTGACCCATCCCAACTCTTTTAGAGGGAACTGTCCAGTACTTGTGCCATCAAAATAACAGGATTTTTCAAATTTCCACTCTTCAAATAAAAAGGAAGTCCAGAGCTGGGAACAGAAGAGAGCTATAATGCCAGAAGTCTAACCCTTAATCCGTATTAATTTTAATTTGCAAAAATTGTTACTCTCCTGACACCCACTTAGAGGGCTCAGGTTGCATTTCTATGTTGGCTACTAACTGATGGCGCTAGTCATTTAACCGCTCAAATCTGCAGGGTTTGCAGGTAATGGCCACATAGTCCACAGAAATACATCATCTGAATTTGCAAAACTTACAGTATTAAAAGATGTCAAAAAGCAGATGCACAAATATTTGAATGTGTGTATGCCAGGGAAGAAACCAAATCAGAAACTCATATACTTATGATCTCTTATACCCGAATTTGGGGAGCAATTTTCTTTGGTTTCTGCCTGATGCTAAGGTTTCTTCCAGATTCTCCCCCGTTTCCTGTTCAGTCAATAAATGTATGCAAAGGAAAACATATGCTCCTACTATAGCCCACATTGCCAGCAGGCACACAACCAGCTTGGCACGTGTTGTGCAGACCACCAACTGCAGTGACACTTCATTACATGCCGCGTGCCTGGTGCCAGATGGGAAGAGAAAAATGGGGAACTAGCCAAGGCAGACTGGAATGATGGACTTGGGCCAGGTTCACCACTGATGGGGTGCAGATCTACCATACCAGCATCCTCAAATGTGCAGGAAGGCCTCCCTTTTGTTCCATGAATTCCAGGAGAAAGAGAAGACTAATCTCAGAAAGGCACTGCCCCATCTTATAGCCTGTCCCCAGGTAAGACATGGCCCTGGTTTCTAGGGCAGTGAGTGGTTAATATATAAAATGTTCAAGAGATTTAAAAGCTCTACAATGACTGCTTGCTTTGCTTTCTCTTTAACAGGCCTCAAAACTTGCACAATGTACTCATGCATACAAACAGCACTCTGACTGATGTGGTTGGGTTTGGGCAAAATGTTCAGTATGCTAAGAACATAAACTCCAGAACTCAATAAAATGTACTGGAAAAGGCTACCCCTACCAGGCATAAAAAGAGAGGTCAGAAACCTGTCAAAGATGACTGGCAGGGAAAGGGCAAATATGTTAGCCAAGGCTGTGGTTAGCTGGGTAGGTGATTAACTACCATGCAAAGATAGCCATGGGGCCAGACATCAAGCAAGAGAGTCAATAGCAAGACGTTCAGAACAGACGTAACAGGAGAGCTGATGGGTCAACCAAAGAGAAAATTCTCAAAGGTCCAGAGGACCAGTAAAGAAAACAAGACCCATATGACAGAGCAAAGCATGTGCAAAGGAATAAAAAACAAGCTGGGAAAACCTCTGGTTGCTTAATTTTCCATCATATGATTTCCTACATCTGAATTGCAACTTAAGAAGCAGGCATATGATGAAAAGGCAGCAAACCATTCTGCATAGTTTGGGAAAGGCTCCATGAATGAGCATCTGTTCTGTGACTGAAATATGCTGGTTTCTAGATCATAAATCTGGACATGCCAGTTGCTATTTGAGAATCTGATAAGGGAAGGGTGCTGTGTATGTTTTGTTTTTTCCCAGGCTACAGAAAGGGAACAAATCTCACTATAATTGCATCTTCCATTACACACAGTGCTGCTTTCAAAGTCCAGCTCAGAAATGTGGAGAGAATTAAAATGATAAAAATCAACAGGAGTAGAGGAGATAGAAAATTGGCCTAAACATCTCACTACAGGAGTAGCTGAGATTTTTCTAGGAAAGGAGGTTAAATGTCCAAGGGTTATTTGCTGGGCTGATCAATGAGAACATCTGCCTTTTCTTGTACAGCAAAGGCTGGATTCTGTAGCTAAAGGAAAGGCAAGGCAAGGCAAGGAGGAGGCAGGGGCACTGACCCACATTTTAATGCTTAGCACAATGATACGCTCGTGGCTTTTACAAATACAAATGCAGTCAAATGCAGCAGCAGTTTATTGTGCTTTTTACACAAGCAGATGGCAAATATCAAAAGCCAAGTTCTAGCCTATGGGCATACTTCAAGGGGACAGACAAAATGTTTGGCTCACTAGAGATTCTTGCTCTGAATCTCAAAAGGTTCCTCTGTATATAATGATTTTGTAATGTACACTCACACAATAGCAGACTCCAAAGTGGAGTTGCTAATACACAGCACACACTGCTTTTGCAAACATTTCCAGGTCGTTGATTTACACTGGCCAGCTTACAGACTGAACATTTCTAATTCAATTAAAATCTCAGCCCAGCCAATCAATACAAATGCAGCTTGTTCTACTTTAATGTGCACAAAGCAGAGGCCACTGGTGTGGGCAAGCCATGCCCAGGAGGCAAATGCTGCCACCTACAAGCCTAGTTTCCATTCCAAACTGCCACCGCCATAAACACTCACGGCTTTTTTCCACTTGGACACAGCCCAGATCACAATACTATCCAGGGGTTGCTTTTCCCTGCACTGAAGAAAAACTAAAATCGTACAGAAAAAGCAAAACATGAACAGCATCACTTGAGAAGCGGGGCAAATGTGTAGATCCTTTTTCGGCAAAGACGTGGGTCAGAAAGTAACTCTCTATGGCTGTACTAACTGAATCCAAATGGCAAATGATGTGCCACATTCATACTGTATTTGATCTGTAATTAGAGTTAGAGGATTTGTAACCCTGCCAATTTCTAATCCAGGTTACTTCCATGTATTTCAGCCCATAGTTGTATTCTAAGGCATGTACACGTTAAAATGCAATGTCTAAAAAGAGTCCTCTACAAATACATGTTTAAAACCTGTGTTCAATGTATATTTTTAAACACATGTGTTTAAATGCATATTTAAACCAAGAATTGGGCTGCATGATAGGCTGTGATTTCCAAAAATGGACCATCAGCTTTTTGTTTTATTTCTAGGCTATCCAGAGCTAGTCAGCATGGTCATGCCTATATCTCAATTGCTCCCACTTGGCTCACCCTGCCAGCAGGAGCAGATACTCAAGCCAGAGGCTCTCTGATCCAGGAACTGTGGCACATCTATTCCCTAACATGCCAAAGTTTAATGTAGGGCTTGTTCTCAAGTCCAAAATCCAGTGGCTAGTGAAGCTTTGATCCAGGCATCAGTCTGTGGGGTCTGGAGCAGATCATATCATACCAAAATTCACAAAGTTCAACTTACACAGGCATCCACATATTCAAACACCTATATCAGTCTGACTTGGATCCAGTTATAAAACATTTGTTTGTAAATGGTTTCCCTCATGTGAAAAGTCTGCCAGATGCTGAAAGCTGGAGGATCCTTCACGTTTTGAAGCCCTTGAGAGAAAGTCAAAGAATCTGACTCCCTGACAGCCAGCGGCTCCCATAAAGCTAAAGAGTGAAAGGCCCAAAACTTACCACAAGCTCAGAGAACCTTGCATTGAGCTCCTCTGCTGGTGGGATTGGCACAGAGAACTCCAAGAACTGTAGGGGGTTGTTGTCTTTGAGGTTGATTTCAGGCAGGTCACTTCCTCCAAAGCAGCAAAGAAACCCCAAAGCATGACGATTCCTTTTACGGGGAGCCATGGTCATTGTGATGTGAGGTGCTATCTAACAATCATGATCTGCAAAGAAAGCAAGAAAAGAAGTCCTTGAAATATAATCAAGAACCCAAACTTTTTGCCATAAGTGGCATGCTTGTTATTATTATCACTGAGCAAACTTTTTCAAGAAATTGAGTCAAGTAAATATAGGCTGTGCTAAATTGTGTTCAGTGCTATTAGCTCTTTTCTTTCGGGAGTGCTTTCGCCTTCACTTTTGTTCTTTGCAGAAAGGGTGAACTGCTAAACATCTCAGACAGTTTGCTAAATTCTGTTCCTTTTAATGCTGGCAGAGTTTTCATTATCTTAGTCAGAGGAATAACAACTAGTTCAAAAAAGGAAATCCCATGCGTTAAATCTGCTGTGCAATTAAAAATTAGCAATATTCATGGTTTCAAAAATTCAGCAAAAACATAGCAAAGCATGCCAAGAGAACAGGTGCAAGAACAGACAAAGTAAAACACTTGTATGACAGAAGTCCTGGAGAAAACATCACATCCTACAAAAATATCTGGGGAGACAGAGAATGTACAACAATCAGGTAGCGCGATTGATTGGGCCCTTTCAGATTATGCATAGTAGTTGAGAGCCCCACAGATCTTGAGTATATAGTGGAGTTATAGTCCAAAACAGAAGCCAAAGTTTCCAAAGTCCTACTTCTGTCTGTGCAGCAAAGGAACAGGGGAGAACACAAGCCTGACAGTTGCTGAGGCTCATTCCCATAATGATAAACCCTGTTATGTCAGAATGAGGCCTATGAGTTTGATGGGTATCCTTCCTTAACATTCTTGATAGAGTAAACATTAATTATAACACTCTAGAAACCTAGAACCAGTGTAAGGCAGTAGTTCCCAGTGTCTGACCTGGAGAAAAGACTTCAAATCATTATAACCATGATCACTTTAAGATGTTTTTAATGCAAATCACTCAGCTTAAGATCCCAGTTAGAGCACTGAGAACAAAAAAGCTAAATTTACATAACTGCTGCAAAATAGGACTAAGCTGAATGGGGAAATGGGCATTAATACTGAAATAAACATTACAGATGACATTAATACACCCAAAAATGAATATTAGACACAGGTCAACTATCACTTGTGGATTTTTCCTGCCAGTCATTTCAAAAGGTATTCCTAATAAGGAAAAACTTATCGTGTAAGAGGAAATTAAACTATCACGTGAATACTAATGCATTTAAAATTATAAATCTGTGGCAAGTGCATTATATGAGATACTGGCAGAGTGATCCTATGGCCCCTGAGCATGAAGGCTTATGGGCAGGATTGCACCCTCAGTATCTTAGACATGCAGCGAAAAGGCCCAGCTCTTGCATATTACAGTCTGCTCAGACAGATTCCTCAGATTCTGAGAAGGCAAAAGAGCAAAGAGGGGCAGAGGACTCAGCAGTTTGATGGTTACCTAGTGAAGATTCTCATAAAAAGCAGGAGACCAGGCCAGCTTGAAAGAGGAGGGAGGCATTTCAGAGTTGGAACAAGAGGTAGTAGAGAAGGTGTCGCTTGCCATCTGAGAGCGATGATTTAACTGCTAATCCTGCACTGGGTAGGAGGCTGGACCCATTGGCCTTTTTGGCCTCTTCCAACTCTACTGTTCTATGATTCTATGACCCACTCAAGAGGTGGCAGGAGAAAGGTCTCTGGCACTCCCACTTGCTAACTAACCCACAAGCAGCAGGGCCACCTGAGGGATGGAAGGATGAGAAGCCTCAGTGCAGGTTCAACATGGGCAGGTGTTTCTCCCACATCTCAAGAAGAATGCTACTTTGGTTTAGTCTGCTTTGTAAACTGCTAAATTTTAGTAAAAGAACTGTGCTTCTAAAGTTTCACCTGAGTCTGCTGGAGATGGAAAGAGGAAGGGAGAGAACTGCTCATGAAAACATAATGCAATCCTATGCACATTTATATAGAAGCAAGTTCCAGAGATTTCAGTGGGACTTAATGTTTAGAACAGGATAAGACAACCTGGAGTCCTCCAAATATGTTGGAGTACAATTCTTAAGTCCCACCACATGGACAAGGCTTATGAGAGTTAGAGGCCAAACTTCTAACCAAGTGCCATGTCAGCTAGTTCTGTGGCTCTACATCAGCATAAGGACTTGAATTCCGACTGGTCACAGGTCACCTCACCCTCAGTACTCCTTCTATACCTTCCCAAGCTGAGGATGAGGTTCGTTCATCATCTGGCCTTGAGGATGACTCTCCTGGAGCATAGTCCTTCAGGCATGCAGGAGCAGAAACTGGTACCAGCCGTTCAAAACTACAGTTACCTTCTGGTGCAGGTGAAGCCACTGAAAGACCAGCCTCTGCCAACTTTCCTAAAGTTTGTGTTGACTGTAGGCCTTTGCTGGAACCATATTCTGACATTTAGACAGGAAGAGTATTCTAACAGAATACTCTAACAAACACTTCCCGGGGTATGTTCTCAATAGGGTTCTGATGTGATTCCTGCCTAGTCTGACAGGATCAGTGCAGTGACTGTTGCATTGCAGTCTGCTTCCCCAGGACATAAGGTTGTCTACCCTCGGCCTAGAAAGAGTGCACAAGATTGCAACCTAAGCCTATGTTTCTGCATATATTTTCATGGAAGCAAATCCACTTAATTCTTCTGGCCTACTTCTGAACAGACATGTACATAATGCACTGCATATTGATTTAGAGTACTAATTGCTAGTGTGTGCTCAAACCTTTAACGCTTGAGTCACAATTACTTTTGAGGTGGTGAGTCACATTTGTCTAGCCTTCCATGCATTTATATGGATCCAGTGGTAATTTTATTTTTATTTATATTATTTCTGTACTGCCCAGTAGCCAAGGTTTCCTGCGTGGTTTACAGTGACTCATTAAATAGGATAAAATGCAATTAAAATCATTAACATATTATTAAATAATTTAAAAATCACAAAATTTCACTACAGCATGTAAAAATGAAATTTAAAAACATAATTTAAACAATAGCAAAGAAAGGTTAAAGGAGAAAAACCTGTTCAACAACTGACATAAAGCCTGCAGCCCTATTTAGAGGCATTAAATGCCTTGGCATAAAGGAATGTTGTAACTTGGTGCTCAAAGGATAGTACACTTGGTGTCACCCAGACCTCAGTTTCATAACTTGGGGGTGGGGGTCACTACTACCCATTGTTTTTACTAATCAAGCCTCCCTCAGAAGTGGCAATCAGAGGAAGGCCCATAATGCGCTAAGCAGAGAGGTGTGCCTGGTGCTGAGTTTATATTCTTTTCGGCACCAGGTCAAAACCTTTTTATTTAATCTCTATTTTAAAAATTAGTATTTTCATTGTTTTGAACAGTCGCTTTGATTGTGTCTTTTATGTAAATTTTTATTAAATTATGTCATTTATAAATGTGATTTTATTGTATTTCAATTTTATGTATTGTGAACTGTCCTGAGATGCCAAGGCATAAGGGATGCCATACAAAATTTTTAAATAAATAAATAAATAAATATTTTGAACATGGTGTCCAGGTAGACTGTGGCTGGGAGAGGCATTCCTTCAAATATGACAGTCCCAAGCCATGTAGGCCTTCATAGGTCAAAACTAGTAAAGCACCCCATTATGAACAGGAGCCTTCTCCCTGGTTCCTCTTCTTTCTCTCAGATAAACGTGCACAGAGAAAGGAAAAGATACGAGAGAGAGAGAGAGAGAGAGAGAGAGAGAGAGAGAGAGCGAGCGAGCGCTTCTCCAGTTCAGAATGGTGTTTACGCCACCACAGACATGGCATTGAATCATTCACTCAGCAGCTGCTGCAGCAGTGAATGGCAGTGACAGATATGGGGGTATCCTTGATAGGCCCAGTGCTTGGAGCACTGAAGTCCCATGTGCCACTGAGAACACCAGGAATGAGAAGAGAAGGGAAATGAGAGAGAGTAGAAACGGGGAAACTTCTCTCCCTCCCTTACTTTCTATCACCACTGCTGAATAAAAAAAGGGTACCACTAAGGGAGGCTGCCCATAACCCTCCAGACTTGGGGATTGCAAGCATCCTATGCAGGACAGGAAGGCAAAGCTTGCCTCCAAAGTCCTTCTGCCCTGATTTCAGCCATCTAATTAGGATGCTTCTGACAGGAAGGGATGGTGCCACCTCCTCCTCTCCTTGACCACTGGAATGATCCCTAAACTTCTTTGAGGTTGCTTTTATGACCTCAGAGAAAAGCCAGCATCGTTCTTCCCATGCCAGCTGCAGGGGTGGCACTGTTGCTCCAAATATGGATGCTCAGTTTCAAGGTCAAAGCATTTTCCAACCTCAGATCTGGGAAGCCAAGTTAATCTATGACCTTCTAGATCAGGGATGGGCAATTAATTTTCCTATGGGGCCACAGGAGAAACTTTGACAGTTGTTAAGGGTCAGACCAATACTCTTACAGCTCTGCTCAATATATATCTCTATAAAAACAGTAAATGAAACATTACAATGATACAATGAAAATGTGGAGCACAGAACAACACTATTTAATGAATATTCAAAAAAACATTAACATTACATGAAAAGCAATAAATTCAATTCAATTTAGCAGATCCTTCAAAATAAAATCAGTGCAGTTGTATTGGTTGTATCTATATTATGACGATATATATTTGCATTGACTTTTACTTTGCCAGTGACCTCATGCGGGCCAGTCAGGGTCAGCCATCGGGCCGGATGTGGCTCGCGGGCCGTACAATGCCCAGGTCTGTTTTAGATGCTGCTTAGGAGCCACAGGACCACTCTGGAAGGGGAGTTGGGAACAAGGCTTTAAGATACTGTCTTGCATAGGGTCTAGGCATAGCTTATAATTACATGGGGAATCAACTAAGCTAGTTTTCTTTGGGGATGGAATAAAAACAGTTTAGTATTTGAACTGGAAAAGGGAAAGTTTGTTTCTCAGCAAGGCAAAGAGACCAAAACTCATACAAGAAACATTTGAAAAACCCTGACAGAACATAGGTTGCTATGCATTTACATTAAATAGAAGCCTAACATTCACATCTCATCTTCAGCTTTCACAGAATG